AAGAAAAAGGAGGTGATCAGACAGGGGGGAAACACATCATCCAGTCCCTTTGATCAATATTGAGAGAGAAAGAAAAAAAATCAGCATTGGCCATCCCCCCCACCTTTTCCCTCTCCTCTTTTACATGCAGGACAGCAAGGAAACCTGTAACTCAATGTGACATATTCCAAATCATGTTTTTCCCCTGAAACACACCCTTTGCTAATGATGGGGGGGGGGGGGGGAGGTTACACACAGAGTCTATACCCCACCTTACAGTGATCATGAGTTTCATTCCACTCATTATGGGTGTCTGAGACAGTGTGATCTCTCAGCCCTGTGAGGGGCAACCTAGGCTAGCGAGTGTGCTGCAGGAGTGGCCCTCCATCTCAGTGGGCCTCAAGAGTGTCATAACCAAGATGATCACCCCGTGGCCCTCCATCTTAGTGGGCCTCAAGAGTGTTATAACCAAGATGATCACCCCGGATAGGATAGTTTTGCTAACTGTGCTTGTGTACCTAGAATTTTGTGGGGTGTGCCAATTGAATTGTAGCACTTTGGATGAAGAGGGAGCACAGGGCTCTTATGTGTGCAATGAGCATACACCCCACTTCACGTGTCTGTAAGTATGTGTCACTTTTGCAATGCCAGAATCTGGCAAGCCTGTGCATGGTAATAAAAAAAATGCCTTGTGAGCCACACATAGAACCTTAATGAGCTGCATGTCACCCCTGTTCCTACCTTTTTCCAGTCTCCATTGTACAATTGTCTGAGAATTTCCCAGAGCATTATCCATTTTAGTTAACACAATACTAGAGGATCTGTGGAACCCTATTAATAGCTATTATTGCCCATAGGCCAAATTTTACAGGTGGGTCGGAGGCTCAGAGCGGCTAAATAATAGGTTGCACAGAGGCAGTAGCAGAGCTGTGACTGGCATCTAGGAGTCCTATCTTCCAGCTCTTTCCTAGGCAGGCAGCTAGGTGTGCAGAGCAAAATGGGATATGCGCTTGTTTTTGTTCACTTAAATGGCACGAGGAGTACTCTGGCACCTTAAAAACTAACATTTATTTGGGCATAAGTTTTATGGGCAAAAAAACTACTTAATCAGATGCATCCAATAACCCAGTATATTATTTTGGTGCCAGTGTAAGGCTCATTTTATACCAGTACAGGGCTTCTATGCTGGAAGGGTTGTATCAGTGTAGACACACTGAAGTAACACCACCAGTGTAAAAAAGTCCTAGGGTAGACAAGGGACACATTTTATTGTAACTACCACTGTTACTGGTACAGCTTCATCAATATGCATGATACCACCAGTGTAAAAAAGTCCTAGGGTAAACAAGGGACACATTTTGTTGTAACTATCACTGTTACTAGTACAGCTTCATCAATATGCATGAAGCTTAACAAATAGAGTCTCTGCACTGAAGAGTTTACAATGTAAGTTAGGACATGACTTTGTGAAAAAGACATTGGGAATATCAGGTCAAAACGGGGAAAAAAAATCAAGAGTAACAGAAATATCCTATAGTACTACTTGGTAGTAGTGCCTGAATCACCACATATTACTATATTCAACATCAAATGTTATTTGTTTTATTCCTTCTGAAATGCTGTTTCTAAGGCAAGGTCAACACTACAGCTTATGGTACGTAGTCACCCATTCACTCTTGTTTCCTCTCTGCCTAGAGCCACACTAAATGCTTGGAGCCCCACTCCTGACCGTGTTGTTCTAAGGTATTCCTGAATACACACTTCATTGAAACCCATTTTCTTTTTTCTTTCTCATGTAAGGGCATGGCTATGCTACAGAGTTTACAGAAGTGACATTGTACCAACACAGCTGAACTGCTGCAAGCACTCTAAGGTAGCTACTCTAAGCTGAGGGAGATTGCTCTCCCATCAGTTTAGCTTCAACTCTCGTGGAGGCTGGAGTAGTTACGTCACTGGGAGAAGCTCTCCCGCTGTCCATAGTGGCACCTGTGTTGCTCAAGCAGGTGGTTTATTCACTCCCAAGTGACATCAATTAAACTTCAGAGGTAGGCGAGTCACTCTGTAACAGGAAAAACTTAAACAAGGCTGTGTCTACATTGGCAAGATTTTGCGCAAAATCTTGCCAATGTAGACACAGCCTTGTTTAAGTTTTTCCTGTTACAGAGTGACTCGCCTACCTCTGAAGTTTAATTGATGTCACTTGGGAGTGAATAAACCACCTGCTTGAGCAACACAGGTGCCACTATGGACAGCGGGAGAGCTTCTCCCAGTGACGTAACTACTCCAGCCTCCACGAGAGTTGAAGCTAAACTGATGGGAGAGCAATCTCCCTCAGCTTAGAGTAGCTACCTTAGAGTGCTTGCAGCAGTTCAGCTGTGTTGGTACAATGTCACTTCTGTAAACTCTGTAGCATAGCCATGCCCTTACATGAGAAAGAAAAAAGAAAATGGGTTTCAATAAAGTGTGTATTCAGGAATACCTTAGAACAACACGGTCAGGAGTGGGGCTCCAAGCATTTAGTGTGGCTCTAGGCAGAGAGGAAACAAGAGTGAATGGGTGACTACGTACCCCTTGCAGAAATCTGATTTCTCTTTTGTCCCGCCAGCTTCACTTCATTTAAAAACTACTTGCTTACATAATCAGACGTAAGTGTGCAGAAGTGTCACAGCATGGTTTTACTGAAAAATTGCTTACGGTCCCAGTTTTATAATGTAATTGTAAAATAATTCAATTGGCTCAAATATTGTACTTATATTTCAACATATAATAGTATAAATTGCTATAAAGTCATGTATGTGTAAGACATTTTTGTTTGTACTGACTTTGCTAGGGCTTTTTATATAGCTAGTTGAAAACTAGGCCAATATCTAGCCCCCAGAAGACTTCTGCGTACTGCCAGGGGTTCAACTGTTTTAAGGTTTAGTTAAGTGTAAACCCAAGTCTCAAACTCAAGCACCATTTTCCATTTTACACACAAATTGTGCTAACCCAGCCTGAGTCCAGACAGCTACACTGCAATTTGATAGCCCTACTGCCTAAGACAGCTGACACACTAGCTGCCGGTGCTTTATTGTGGTGTAGACAAAACTGGACAGTCAAGCAGAGATTAAACCATACAGGCCCTTGAAAACCACTCAACATGTTCTTTTGAAAGAAAATCTGACACAGCATTTCTTATTGAGAGACAGGTAAGCCCAACATCACAGCCCAGCAATTCGTCATATTGCTGGATTTTGTGTGCAAGTGTAGCTCTCTCTCAAGAGCGTAATTTCAAACAAAGTAAAGTAGGAGAGGAGTGACATAAAAGTGGTTGAAGGAGGCAGCATAAGGATGAGCCCAGCAAAGATTCCTCACAGTCCCTGGGTGAAACAGGCATGCACAAGAGCTATTTATAGAAAGGGCAAAATATCACCGCTGAGAAATCAGTGCAATTGTATGAACAGACGGAGCAAAATGTTTTATTCTTTAATAGTAGTGCTGGATGCCGAGCAGTCTGGAAATCCTGTAGATATTCCAAAAGTTATCACACATAGATGTGTTAAAGTATGGGTTTTTTAGCTTTGGAGTCCATGTAACATATGGGGTTCTAAAGCAGAAATCTGTCCCCCAATCCCTAAAGTTTGGGATGGAAATGCCTTTTTAACAACCATACAAAACCTCAATTTGTCAACAGGAGAAAGGCACATGACTTTGAAATATATGATCTCTCTCCCTCTTTAGAGCCTGTTTCCAATGGCTACAAAAGCAAGGCCATATTTTCCCATCTGTTATATGGCACGGAGTGAAGCAAAACGAGCAGAAAGAGTCCCAGATGCATAGATTGGTGGAAGTAGCACCCCTGCGATACTTCCCCAGTCTCAAAGAAATGCAGTCCCTCAGCCACCGCCCTGCTGCACCCCTAAATACACATAAGAAATGGATGGTTCAAGCAACTTCAGCTCTATGGCAAGGGGACCTACAGAGGGGAACAGCTATTCTACATGGCATGCTCCCCTATCCCCCTGCATACTGTGTGAATTTGTCCTGGAAATCTGCATCATTGTTACTGCTGATGGAAGCAACTGAATCTAGCCATCACCTTCAGATCCTTTTGAGAAAGTGGCAAGATGTAGGTACCAGAGTCAGCATTGCTTCTCTAAGGGAGCCATGAGACTCCCAATGTCCTGCCACATCCTTGGAAGACCATACTGAATTCACGTTAAGCATCTTTGAGGTACATTGTATTAAGTGAGCAGCAAATGTATTACCTAGGGCTGGGACTGTACATAACCTGTGCAAAATCCCAGCCTTTTGAAGTCAAGCCCTGAGGAAAGGGTGATTAACTGCTCGTAGAGCCTCAGACTCAAAGGGCAGAGTTGTATAAAGAAACAGACTGATTTGCCCATTTTCAATTCTGGTTCTGAGGCTACGTCTAGATTGCAGGCTTCTTTTGGAAGAAGCTTTTTTCAGAAGAGATCTTCTAAAAAAAAGTCTTCTGAAAGAGAGGGTCCACACTTCAAAAGTGAATCAAAAAAGCTATCTGCTTTTTTGAAAGAGCGCATCCAGACTAAATGTACTCTCTCTCGCATGTAAGATGTGATTGCTATGGACAGAATGGCCACCAGGGCACTTATGCTTTTTCCTCTTTCCTCTTCTTCAGAAAGAA